GAAGAGCGTGGTCAGGAACATGGTTAGTGACTCTGCCTTCCTATATCATCTACCCTCCTGCTAGGGTTGCCAGTAAGCCTGGAGAAAAATGCCATGTCCTTTTAACAGAAATGGAAATGAGCATCTGAGTCTTGTCATGGCATGGAGATAAATAACATCCAGTTATGCCTCTATTAAAGGAACAATACCTTTCTTGCGTGTCTACGCAGCTGGCAACCTGCTCTACTGCCATTTTTTTCTGGAGTGAAATCGTTAAGGGGGAAAGTCTTGTCAATTTCACTACTGCCTGGTGGGTTTTTTAAGTTTAAATGCAATGCTGTGGGGGGCATAGAATTTCTTGTGCTTCTCTCACCCAAATCTCCCTCCCCCCTTCTCACCTTGGGAGTAGTAACAGCAGTGGCAGCCCCTGGGGAAAGTGGCCAAAAGGAAAAGCTTTGTTCTTTGCCTGCAGTGCTGTTGTTGCTCAGAGGGGTAGAGACTAGCTATGATATGTCAGACTAGGTTTGGAAGGAGTGATGAGGTCACAGAGTTCCTCTCTGCAGGAGCAGCAGTTGGCCTCTTATTTATCAGTGACCCCCTCTTTTTCATGCTCAGAGAACTCTTTGTCACTAGGGTCTGGCTTCTGCTTTTTCCAGAATTTACTTCATTCTCTGTACAAGGCTGACCCAATCTAGGGTAAGATGAATTTCCCTAGCCATGAAGAAGAAGAAGAGATTGGATTTATACCCCACCCTTCACTCCAAGTGTCAGAGTGGCTTACAAACTCCTTCCCCTACCCACAACAGACACCCTGTGAGGTAGGTGGGGCTGAGAGACCTCTGACAAAAACTGTTCTTTCAAGGACAGCTCTGAGAGAACTATGGCTTGCCCAAGGTCATCCAGCAGGTGCAAGTGGAGGAGTGGGGAATCAAACCCAGTTCTCCCAGATTAGAGTCCGCACACTACACCAAACTACACTACTGAGATGGAGAAGGGGGATATTGCTTACCAGATTGCTTCCAATTAACACCAGAAAAGTATTTTATTAATGCATGAACCTGATGCACAATTGTCAAGACAGGGCCAATGGTAGTATACAGTTAGTACAACGGTAATACCATGAACCTGATGCACAATTGTCAAGACAGTTATTACAACGGTAATAAAAATATTACATTTTTTGCTACCTAACAGTATTACCTTATGTACCCTATCTGTGCTCTGCAGGACTTGGTCCAGTTCTGCAGGGCCTGTAAGATGGAGATGTTCCGCCAGGCCTATGGTTGAGAACAGCAATGGTTTGTCATGAAGCCTGGCCTCCTTTACTCCCCCCTCCCCTCTAAGGGAAAGGGTATAAATTGGTATCCAACGCCATCTGAACTAGCTATGATTTGTACTGTATTGTTTAGCTGTTTTAATTGTTAATTGTTTTAACTGAATTTAATTATTATTGATTGATTAATACATGCATTTATTGAATGTTGTGTACCACCCTGAGCCCTTTGTGGGGAGGGTGGTTTATAAATTAAATAAATAAATGTTGTGAATCTGTCGGTGTCAATGATTAGTAATTACAGAGTAGAAGCAGAAGATTTGGTTTTCAAATGATTTTGTTTCATTGTTCCAAAAGAATTTTTTTGCTCCAAAATGTATTTTGATCTTTAACATAGCTTGTCCTGAGATCTTAGTGTAACATACAGCGGTATTTCCCAACCTGTGGGTCAGGACCCAGAAGTGGGTCGTGAAGCCTCTGCAAGTGGGTTGCAGGCCTGCCATCTCTAATGGCTGCCCCTGCCCTTTCCATTGCTCTCTTGTATTTTGAAAACCAAGAGGTGACCCTGGAAACAGTATCTTCCATGTCATACATTAGTGGGTATTTTTTCTTCACTACATATACATGTTGATTAAGTAAAACATGTCCACTGTAGAAAATGGAATGCTGAAGAAGATGGGCACCAGGTCATAGTTTGCCTAGGGTGTAAAAAAAAAACTTGGGCCAGCCCTGGATGGGTTACCATACCAAGTATATTTGGACTTGTGGGTCACCATGCTCCCTCTAAGCTGTGGAGTCTTGTGAGCAAAAATTCTACTTTGTGAGCTGCCGGCATCAAAGTTGTGAGCAAGTGATTGGGCTGCTGCATAAATCAGTTTACTCTGGAGCCCTCCTTCCTGAGCTATGACAAAAATGTGTGAGCCAGAGGCTAAAAAAACTGTGAGCTAGCTCACACTAACTCAGCTTAGAGGGAACACTGGTCACCATAGCAAAGAGGTCGGGAACTGCCACCTTACAGTAACCTGGTCATCTCCAGTTCTTGCTGCAGTACTTCTGGCAGTGTCTGCTCCTATAGTCATGTGTTTCATTTCACACTTTAGGTAGCCTGAAATTATTGGACCAATAAAGACAGTGTTAAGCACTTTAAAGTCCCAATGGCCCATTTATGTCAATGAGAATGTTGAGCACATGCTTATTTCTTTCTATGGAAATGAAAGGGACGTAAGTGCTTCTTTTTGTACAGGGACATGTTATAAATATTCATTTCTTACATGTGCTTTCTCCTCCTGGGCTTGCGTCTTGGTGGGCACTTATTTTTTAATAGTGAATGTTGGAGGTGGAAAGCTGTATTCCAGTACTTATGCACCTATGGCCTTCATAATATTTTGAAATATGGCATGTTTTCAAAATCTGACCTTTCCATTTTTGTAACAAGCTTTGTAATGACATCAACTGCTGTAGAACGACCACACATAAAATTACTTCTGGGTTAAATACCATCAAACTGCCCCATCTCCTGTTCCCTCTTTGAAGCCCAGCTATTGTCAGTTTAGTTTTCTAAAAACATTAGCTTCTGCATTGAAAATTATGCTCTTATTATTCACTGAAGCAGAGGAAGGCTTGAAAAAGTTAATGAACTGTTCCAAATGTTAAACAACCAGAATGGAAATTAAAACGATTCCAAAACATTTTCCCCCCTTCAAAGTCACTGATTTCTCCTTAATCTGATTGAGTTTTGGATGTCATCCAGGACTCTTGAGCACTTGGGGTTGGAGTTATTTGGAGTGAATAATTCACGTATGGCACTTAGTTTGCAGACAGGAAGATTGCTGGTCTGAATATTTTGAATTAACACAGTAGATTTGATTTGGCTTTAGTTTATTAAGATTCATGTAACTCAAATGTGAACTTTAACCAGAGGCACCCTCAAGGAAGGAGCTGTGGTGGCTCAAGTGGTTAAGACGCTGAACTGCAGGCTGTAAGGTCGGTAGTTCAGCAGTTCGAGACCCAAGTGCCCTATGACGGAGTGAGCTCCCAACTCTGGTTCCAGCTCCTGCCAAACTAGCAGTTCGAAAGCAAGAAATTGTAAGAAGATAAATAGGTACCACTTCGGTGGGAAGGTAACAGCGTTCTGTGCACCTTGGCGTTTAGTTATGCCGGCCACATGACCACGGAAATGTCTTTGGACAGCGCTGACTCTTTGGCTTGGAAACGGAGATGAGTACCACAAACCTACAGTCGGATTTGACTGGCTTTCGAGCAAGGGAAACCTTTACCTTTACTCTCAAGGAAGTTTGTAACTAAGAAGGATTCAAAGCATGTATTCTCAGCTATGCCCCCCTATGGTACTTATCCATCCTATAGAAATAAGCTATGGATCGTCCTTCTAAGATTCATAATATGAATTTATCTTACCCAATGCACAGACAGTTTATACTGATTTTTTATATTTTAAAAGCTTTGGAAAAACATATCTCAAAGAGCCAAATACATATTTTAAAAGCTTCAGGGTACGTTTTTGA